GGGATTGAACCCAGGGGTGCTTTACCACTGAGCTGCATCGCCAGCCTTTTGTATTTTTTATTTTGAGACAAGGTCTCCCTAAAATGTTGAGATTGGACTTGAATTTGTGATCCTCCTGCCTCAATCTCTTGAGTTGCTGGGATTTGAGAGAATTTTTTTATATATTTATTTTTTAGTTATTGGCGGACACAACATCTTTGTTTGTATGTGGTGCTAAGGATCGAACCCTGGCCGCACGCATGCCAGGCGAGTGTGCTACCGCTTGAGCCACATCCTCAGCCCTGAGTTGCTGGGATTATAGCCGTGCACCACCATGCCCAGTTTACCCATCCTTTTTTGGAAATAGACAGGAATATAAATAAACAATCAAAAGGTATGGATTTTTCGAGAATGTGTTTTTAAAAATATTGTTCTTCTTTTTATTCAGAAAAACCTTAAACACATGACTGATCAGTGGGCTCAGCTGATTTCATGACAATGTTCCTCATCAGTCTTTTATCTCAGGCTTTCAGCATTCACTGATGACTGATTAGATCTACCATTGCATTAAGGATTGCATGATAGTGACTTTCTCTTTTTATTCTTTCTACTACATTTACTAGCTGGAATTCTATGAGGACTTTCCCCTCATTAGCAATTTGATAAATCTGGAAAAATAATTTGCAAAAATATTTTTAAAATACTTGTTTTTTTCTTTTAAAAAAAATTAATTGATATTCTGAGTAATGTTTGTACACTAGAAACCTCCAAGTGACAACTTTTTTTTTTTTTTTAAGAATTAGTCTGCAGTTCTCCATTTTATGCACTCCTTGTTGTTGTTCTGTTTGACACTTAATTTGTTCCACCTTAAGACAATGGGGGGTCCCTTTCAGGTTGGTTGCTGTGTCCTTTTAACAAGGCTCCTGTCAGCTTACATAAGCCTGAGACATCTTTCTTGATAATTTTCTTGCTTTCTAGCTAGTCAGATACCCATCTTATCCTGTGGAATTTGTACTCTAGACCTAGAATCCATGATTTCTCCATGGATGTTTAGTTCTTTTTAGAGGGGAAAAAAAATGGTATTTAGAGACCATTAGGGTCTCTAAATTGAACTTAAGATTACTCATTTCTATTGTGTTGTTGTTCCTAGGTCTTTTTGATTGACAGAGCTTTTGGCTTCCCCCTTAGGTGCTTGGGATTGAACCCAAGGCCTGTACATGCTAAGCATCACTGAGTGACATCCTTAGCCCCCAGGGCTTTTCTTTTTGTTAAAGGAATAAGAAACATAAGTATATGTTTCCAAGTCCAATTTAAGTTCACGTAAGTTTTCCTTGATTTAATATTTATGTCTATTTTCTCTTACACTGAAGAGTTGGATTTCTAATGATATTAGCATATTTGTTTATTTGTTTTAGCCTTAGATACACATAAAAGTGATGGGGTTCAGCCTGTATTAACCCACAATATGGCACCTTGATAAGTGAAAAAACAGCAGAAGCAGAAAGCTTTCTCTTACTTTCCTCTTCCTCTTCTCTCCTAAAGCAGGCCATTAAACCTAGCTGACTTTTCTCTAAAATGGGTTATAATACTTAATTCTAGGGATTACCACTCTCTACCCAGAGGAAGGGAACATCCCTATCTTTAAAGACACAGAGATGCCAAGAAGAATCTGAAAAAACAGGTTTTGCTAAGTTCTCCCCAGTTTATTAACCATAAAATCAGACCCTTTTATCTTCCAGTCATATTTCTTCCCAACTATCTACTTCATCAAACTTAGAATAAAAATATACAGGCTTCCCTGTTTCTTTGAGTCTTCATGTGTGTCATGTATGTCTCCCATGTCACATAAACTTACATTAAATAAATCTGTATGATTTTCTCTTGTTAATCTATTCATTATAGAGATCTCAACCATGAAGTTAAGCAATAGATAAGAAAAGAAATTACTTCTCCCTTACAATAGACAACAAAATAAAAATAATGGTAATATTGCTACTATTGGTAAGATTTAACTACATTTTATTTCCCCTAATTTTTTTTTTTGCTACAAAACGTAACAACACACTATAAACATTGTTCTGCATTTTATTTTTTCACTTAAAATATTTTGGTGATCACTCTATGTCATTATATAAAGATCTCACTCCATTTTTTTAGTTGCATATTATCCCACTGTGTAGATGTATATGAAATATTTTTAATGTTTCTAATACAAATTTTATATATTTCTCATGTTATTATCTGTTGAATATCTATGGTAATCTACATATCCTAGAAAGTTATAATTAAACCATAATTCCCACTATTTTGGCTAAATTTAATAAAGATAGAACACACACACACACACACATACACAAAAGGGAAAAAAAACACATACTCCTAGTTAAATATGGTAGTTCAATTTCACATCACTTGCAAAAGAAAAAAAAACTCAAAAAAATGGAATGAGTGGAGAAGCTAACCTGAATTTGTCAATAATATGATTTTACTGCTAATTTTAAAATGGCTGGCATTTTTCTTGACATAATTCCTTGAAAACAAAGCCTGGAAAAAGAAAGGTAGGAGGAATAGGTGACATATGCAATCCCAAGAAAGGTGAGGGGAAAGGAGAAAGCAAATGAATGGAGCTGGTTTCTGAGTTGCCCAATTCTTGCTGGTTTCATAATGGTGGAAGTGTGCTCCAGGAGCCTTCCTGCATTTCCTAATTGTGTGAGCTGGCCCTTGTGGGACTTTGCTGAAGCCAGAGTCTCTGTTAGTCCATTTGGGATGGTGGGCAGGCCCAGGGGTCTCTCCCTGTCAGTCAGCCTCATGTGTGGGGGCTCTTGTTTTACAAAAGCAAGAGGTAATGGCAGTAATGGACATTCTTCTCCAGACAAGAATGGCTTCTCCCATTGGAAAACTAGTCAGACTGCAAAAAAGCAGGGCAGCCAAGTTGACCTGGAGTGGTGCATGAACTGGGTCTGAAGCAGAATTCAAAAAGAGATTATCATCTAAGTCTTCTGTCCTTATTCAGACATCTTTGGTAACAAAAATTATTGTTTTGGACACAAAGCTAGAAAACACCTTAAGAATTTATCTGATATTTTTCTTAACTTTAAGCAAGACCATAAATTATTTAATTTTTTAAAATTCTGAAGAATATTTCACAATTTCTCCTCAGTAGCCCATTCTAGTATCTAAACAGCAATTTTAATCTTTAAAATATCAGGCTAGCCCAGTGCAGTTGTGCATGCCTGTAATCCCAGCGTCTCAGGAGGTTGGTTTGCGGCAGGAATGCAAGTTCAAGGCAAGCCTCAGCAACTTAATGAGAGTATGTCTCAGAAAAAATGAAAATAAAAAGGGTTGGGATGCAGCTCAGAGACAAAGTACCTCCTGGGTTTAATCTGCAGTGGCAATAAACAAACAAACAAAATAAATCAGACTATTCTATTCTAGTATACTTGTTACTTTATGCCTAATTCCCTTGACTAATAATAATAATGATCATTTTAAAATTCTAAAGCTTAGGATAATTAGAGAAAGGTAAAAAAAATTTATCCTACACCTGTTCTAGAATATAACTTTTATTTGATAAAATGCATAATCTCCCTTTAGGAAGAAATTGGCATTTCTAATAAAATGTATTTTATTTTGGGCAACTAAGCAAGACCCTCAGCAACTTAGTGAGGCACTGCCTCAAAAATAAAAAATAAAAACATTTTGATAAATTCTAGTGGAATTAAATATTCTGAAAAATTAGCTTTTTGTTCTTTGTTAATTGATTGTTGGTTAAAAGTTTAATAGTTTTTCAAGACTATTTTAAAAATATTTTTGTATATTAGTGAAATTAGTCTCCTTTTTATGAAATATGAATCTTTGAATTGATTCTTTTTTGAAATAAAGCTTAAATACATGTTCATAAATGAATTATCAGAAAGTTTTTTTAAAAAAGTATTGTATTGTGAGGTTCAGATATCAAATATCCATAAATATTATTGTGACATTAGACATGACTCGAACACACATGTGGGCACGTGTGCATGTGTGCATGTGTGCATGTGTGTGTGTGTGTGTATTTGTGACTTTTCTGTATCATTCTGTGAGTGGTACATTATAGTAGCAAGAATCTTAAGCGTCTGTCACAGAAAAAAATTCTGTTCACCTGGGCACAGTGGCACACACCTATAATCCCAGCAACTCAGGAGTCTGAGACAGGAAGATTGTAAGTTTGAGGGGATCCTGGGCAACTAAGCAAGACCCTCAGCAACTTAGTGAGACACTGCCTCAAAAATAAAAAATAAAAAAGACGAGGGATGTAACTCAGCACTGAAGTGCCCCTGGGTTCAATTTCTCACAAACAAACAAACAAAAACATAAAAATAAATTATAAAAAAAGTTTTGTTCAAAAACTGAAGGATATAAAACAGTTTGCGTCAGATTCCTGGTCATGTCAATATTAACATAGTACTTACATATAATAAGTATTATATTTATGTGGGAAGAAGAAAAGGGAGAAAGAAGGAGAGAAAGAGGGAAGAAGATGTTTTATGCAAATTCGTGTCTCTTTACCATTGGCTTACATCCTTACCTGTACAGTAAGAACAACACTGGTGCTCATTACACCGTGATGGAATAAATGAATGAATGACTACCCATCTAGGACTGTTAGATACACTGTTGCTCGGAGGCAAAGAGATGAAGTAGACATCCTCAGCTTTCCTCCTCTTCTCATTCTATGGTTTTTTTGACCACTAAACATTGGCTGTATTGCAATTTTGTTTTAAAAGTCGGAAAACCAAAATGCTTTCAGATGAAAGGCAGGGAGAAAAAACTTCCTCAGTGTATTTGCTTTAGTGCCAGGAAAGCCTACTAAATATCAATGTCATTATCCATGATATCTTATAAATATCATCACATGGATAAGCAATGTGAATTCAGAAAAAGTATGCATACAAACAGCACTAACTTGTGGCTGGAAGAAGAACTTTAACTGTGCCCAATTTTATTCTATCTCATACTAGAGCTGCCTTGTTTTCGTTGTGCATATATGAATGCAAGCAGCCGCCTTTCTGATGTCGAGCTACTTGCACTGAGATGGAGAAACTGCTGAAGTCATGAGGCTGCTCCAGGCAGAGCCTCATGTGAGTCATATGAAAGCTCCACACTGCTGACCTCTGGCAAAAAGGGAGTGAGAGAGGACAGGAGAGGCAGAGGGGGAGAAGTTCAAGTGTGGGTTTTCTCCTTGAACCTGAAAGACTATGGGTCAAGAGCTGTGTGCTAAGAGTCTACAGCCTGGGTGCAGCTGCTATCACCGTTCCAAAGGAGGCGAGACACACAGCAGCCGGAGGAGTCAGCCTGTGACCATGGAGGCTGAATTCCAGGTATTGGTATCCCAGGAGGAGCATCTTTCTCTATTGATAAACCAAGGAGTTCAGACCGACGCTCCCTTTCCGAAGCAGAGGTCTGATTCCTTCTGCGGTAGGTCGAAACCCATAAAAAGAAAATTCTATTAAAGTCACAGAGAATTTATGGCTGTAGTTATCAATTGTGGGGATGTGCTTGTAAACCAAAAGGGAAAAATAATCCTTGACTTTGTGCTGCCCGAAACTCCCCTTGACTTGAAGTGGAAAAAGTGGTTCTTCTCCTGAAATCTCTAAGGTACTACATTGCAGAGCTGACAGGCTGCAGTATTGGTTTGTGGTGGATTCAAAATTCCAGTAATTAGCTCATATCTATTAGCCATGTCGTGCTAGAAGACTATTCCTCTAAAGTGATAAATTACACAGATGTGTGTGGGGCAGAGGAGGCTGAGTTAAAGAAAAAACGAAAAACATGTATCAAGGAGATTCAGGTTAACCTAAGCATTAAAGGTAAATGTATTCAAGTGAAGAAAGATTGCAGCATTTCCGCAGATGATACCATTATGGTCGTTTTGTTTTGTTTTTTGTTTTTGGATCTGACTTTCAGAAAGGTGCCTTTTGGGGGTGTAGGAAGAACCTTAGAAAACATCTTAAGGGTGAGAATCGGGTAAATTAAAAAAAGATGGTTTTGGCAGCGGCTGAATCTTGACTTTGCATAGATTTTTACTCCTGCGCTTTCTTTTTTCTCTAGCTAACAGACCTAAAAGAAGCATCAAGCTGCATGACTTCATTTCACCCCAGGGGAGTGCAGGGGGCTGGTGCCCGGAAGTTTGAGAGTAAAAGGCCACGGAGTAATAGCGATTCTTTTCAGGAAGAGGATCTGAGGCAGGGTTTTCAGTGGGTGAGTGAACCGCTGACGTTGATCTAGAAGAATTTAATGTGTGCTGGTCCCGGGAAGCTGGTCCTCAACTTCCAGGACAATTACTGAGCAGGCCTTCCCAGGTAGCTTCAACAATACTGTCTCCCTGGGGGGGAGCAGGGGAATCAACACTAAAAATAAAATAAAAGAAAAAATTGATCTTTCTGTCTTTTCCACCTCTCACCCCTCCCCTTCCTTTCAAGCAGAGGAACAGCCTCCCTTTTGGGGCCGCCTCATCTTACTTGAACTTGGAGAAGCTGGGTGAAGGTTCTTATGCTACAGTTTACAAGGGGATTAGCAGGTGAGTTACAGTTGCAGGAGACTTTAAAGATGAGGGCTCCATCCCCCTCCTTTTACATTATAGAGCCAGATGACACAGTACAGAAGTTCACAGCGTTTGGAACCTGTACAAGACACCAGGGCCAACAGGGAGAGAGACATGATGACTTAAATAGCCTTAAAAGAAAAATAAACCTGTCCTACTCCAATTAAAACCAGCTCACTAAAATGTTTATCAGCCTTTCCTCTCTTTTATTCCATTAAAATAAAGTAGACTTTCTCTACTATTAACCAAAAAGAACAATTACTGCCTGGTGGGAAACACAATTGGGAAGGTATTTCTAGAGCGTTTTTCATATGTAAGTCACAATGATAAAGTTTTACAATTGTAATTTATTGAATTTGCTGCTAATTCTTCCACCTTGCCTTCTTATAAAAAATCTGAAGTTGGTTTCTGCAAAGTATGGAATATGCAAAAAAATGATAAATCCTGAGTTTTCTACACTTGCAAAATATGCAAATAACTGGAGAATAAAAATACTACTTATCCAAGACAATTACCCATTTTGGAAAATTGAATTCCATTGCCTTTTAGGGTGGGAAGTTTGGAAGGTCTTATTTCTTTCATTTATCTCACTTAGATGGAGAAAAATAATGGCTTAATAGTGGTTAAATGTTAATTTTAGAAATTTAATATAAACACTACAAAATTAAGTACTTATTATTTATCTTAATGGTTAGTGATTTTTATGATTTTTTTACTTGTTAAAACAAGATTATAAGGGAAATACAGTTTAAAAATATTGTATAGAAGCAAGATTTAATTCACACCTGCAGATTGTCATAGGAATTAATGATATAAAAAAAATTATTTCTCCTTCAAGAAACTCACCAGGAATAGGATGAAAAGTGCATTGGAAGTACATGTTCAAGTGCACAGGGATATAAGTAGAGGTGTGCAGCTCACTTAGGGATTTATAATAGAATAAATAAAAACCTGGTCACAAATAGTCATCAAGGCAGGACTGGGTAAATAATCACCATAGTGTGAAATTGTATGCAGCCATGTGCAGTATGAAGTAGATGTACTAATATGAAAAGATGTCCAGTATTTTAAAAGAAAAAAAGCAAGTTACTGAACAATACATACTCTTTGATCCCTTTTAGAAAAAAAAACCACTCAGATGTATTATACATATATAGATTTGTATGTACATAAAAGAGTCTGGGGAAATACACAAGAGATTAGTTATTTCTAGTGGTTGAAACTGGAGCAGGGAAACAAAGATCACTCTTAAACTTCTCACTTTATTCCCCACCACAAAGGCATTACATTTATAATATAAAAATATGTTCAAAAATACCGTAAAGATAGATGCCAAAAAGGCATTTGGTAAATTCAACATCAATTTCTAGTTTTTAAAACTCTGAACAAAACAGAAATAGAACGATAATTTCTCATTACCATGAAGAATATTTCAAGTCAATAGCACACACACTTTTCTGTTAATTTTAGAGACTTTCCTGGTAAGATTGAAATAAGGCAAAAATGACCATTATCCATAACTGACAAACAATGTCAAAAATAATTTTTTTGTATATTATATCATTGTCCCCCTAAAAAAACCAAAGAGAATCATCTAAGAAACTATTAAAAGTAGTAACGGAACAATAGGTAATCGGTTACAAAATCAATATATACCTATTAAGATTGTCATATGTATTAGAAATGATTATTCAGAAAATATAGTAGGAAAAGCTCCTCTCATAATAACAACAAAATGTGATGATTAACATTAAAAAGCAGAGCAGGATTTATGTAAAGATTTACTAAGGGACATCTAAGACTTAAAGAGTCAGACATTCATTCATTCTACTAAAGTCTATTAATTTTTCTAATTGTGATATTTATTATGTGTCACATACTACTTAAGCTAATAAGAAAACATTGGGGGCTGAGGTTGTGGCTCGGAGGAAGAGCGCTTGCCTAGTATGTGTGAGGCACTGGCTTCAATTCTCAGCACTGCATATAAATAAATAAAAGGAAGGTTCATTGACAACTAAAAAAAAAAAATGCATTGGAAAACAAAAGAGACAAATATCCCTGCTCTTACAGAGTGTGATGGGGGTGAGATAAATAGTGACTAAATCAGTAAACTACTGAATTTGTTGAAGGGTGAAAAGTGCCAGGGAGAATGAAAAATGGCCTGCGTGGTGGTGCACAACTGTCATCCCAGCTCCTCAAGAAGCTGAGGCAGAAGGAATACAAGTTGGAGGCCGGGCTGAGCAAAGTAGTGAGACCCTGTCTCCAAATAAAAAGGGCTGGGGAGGTGGCTCAGTGGTAGAGCACCCCTGGGTTCAATCCCCAATAATTCATAGAAAAGAATGAAACAGAGAGAGAGAGAGAGCGCGCCAGAGTTGTTGTTGGATTACCGTTTTAAATAGGGCTCCAATAGGAGGCCTGGCTGAGAAGGAAACACTTGAACAGGGAACCTGTTGGAGGCAAGGAGTGAGCTATGTATTAGCACAGTGAAAGGCAGGGGAGACTGCAAGTACAATAATCCCTGGGGCAGAGTCAGCCTGGCATTGGAGGAGACAGTGGACAGAGATGAGTGCAGGCAGGAGGTCATATGTGTGCCCCAGGAGATTGTGTAGGTCTTGTACAATGACCAGTCCAAGGACTGTTTAAGTACAGGGTATTTGAATTAAAAATTCTAATTATGTGGCTGGGAGTGTGAAGCTCAGTGGTAGAGGGCTTGCCTAGCACATGTGAGGCCCTGGGTTCCATCCTTAGCACTGCATAAAAATAGATAAATAAAATAAAGGTATTGTGCCCATCTACAACTAAAAAAAGAAGAAGAAAGAAATTCTAATTGTGCAAACATGTCAGTGATTGTCTAATTTCAAGTGTTGATGTATTCTAGATATAGTGAATTCTCAGAGAATTAGACCCCCTTAGACACCAAAATCTATGAATCCTCAAGTGTTTTATATAACAGGGGGCAGTATTTGAATATAAATTAATACCTAATGCAATGTAAATGTTATGTAAGTAGTTGTTACATTGTATCATTTAGAGAATAATGACAAGAAAAAAAAGTCAATACATGTTCAGTACAGACATAATTTTTCCCAGATTATTTTCAATCTGAAGTTGTTTTAAGAGATACAGAACCTACAAATACAGAGGTCCAACTGTGTATTCTAAACTACAATAATTAAAATTATGCAGCACAGGGCTGGGGATATAGCTTAGTTGGTAGAATGCTTCCCTCCCAAGCCCTGGGTTCAATCCCCAGCACCAAAACCAAAAACAACAAAAAAAGACCAGCACAATATAAGGAAAGACAGATCAAAGAAACATGGTTTTGAAAAGTCCAGAACAGTTAAAGATCCAAGTATCACTAAAATATATAATCATGGTGGATTAAAGAGAAAAATGAAGAAGAAACATACAAGAACTAGAAGAAAAGATAAGTGTATTCTTTGTAACTCTTAGGCTGGAAAGTCTGTGTCTAACACTCAAATCAGAATCCATGAGAGAAGATAGGAAGTGTCCGTGGTGCCCCATATATCCAAGTATGTTCGAGGGATCCCCAGTTCTGAGACACCTTAATAGAAGTTTCATTGAAACAGTTATGGACAAATCAATATGGGCAGCCCTAGAACAAAACCAAATTCGATTCTTTATTATAGATTCTTTCAGTATTTTAAAAATGTCAGTGTATACTGTGACCTTCTAAGAACAATCAAGAAGCATTTTCTAAACATATTTGACCAAAAAAAAAAAAACTTTTCTTGGGGGAGAGTAGGGTAGAATTTTACAGAAACAGGCTCTAAGCAAAACACTTTGGAAAATACTGAACATCATAAAAATCTTTTTAAGTTCAAAACTTCAGGGCTAGGGATGTAGTCGGTGGTAGAGCACTTGCCTAGCATACATGAGACTGTGGGTTCGATCCTCAGCACCACAAAAATAAACAAACAAGTAAATAAATCTTCAAAGACATTATAAAGCAAATGAAAATAACTGGTGAGATGTATATGTAAATATTTCAAAACAAGTAGGCAATTTAGGGAAAGCACAAAAGAAATAGAAATGACTATGAAAACTCACTTGCATAAGCAAAGAAATTCAAGTGTGATAACGTCTTTAACTTATCATATAGGCTAAAATGTGAAGATAGAAACAAAAATATCCAAAAACAACAACACAAAACCCAGTTTGGTGTGGATGTGCCAAAGTGACATGAGAGCTAACTGAAAGATTCTTCAAAGGACAAATCTGCAAACATTTGAAAAACAAAGTAAAGTAATATCAAATTATAACCCAAACAACAAAATACCTATGAGTCCATACTGATATAAATAAATGGTTCAATAAGTTAATAAATAAGAGAGGAGAAATAAATCTCCCATGTAGAATTCCACCCAGTTCTCAAGGAGGTAGATCATAGCTCTCAATTCCTTGTATGTAGTGACATTCATCCTGAAGTACAGAATGGAAAAGGGAAAGAGTAACTTCCCAGTAGAGAAACCTGACAAATGCTACTTCAGCCACGTGGTTAAGGTCCACATCATAGGACATACGTCATGTCCACAGTAGGTATCCTGAATATAATGGCTCCTCCCCAAATTCATGATCCCAAACCAATCATAAGAAAAACAGAAAGATCCCAAGAGAGGAGCATCCTACAAAATACTTGACCAGTATTCCTCGATACTGCCAAGATCATCAAAAACAAGGAAAATCTGGGAACTATCATAGCCAAGAGTGGCTGAAGGACACATGACAACTGAATGGGATCCTGGACAATAAAAAGGACCATTAGGTACAAACTAAAGAAATCTTAATCAACTCTGGGCTTTAGCAAATAATAACTTATCAATGTTGGTTCACTGTCTTCCTAAGTTTTCTGAAAAAGTAAAACTGTTCTTTAAAAAAAAAAAAGAAATCTAAAAATACAAAAATAGAAACAAAACCCAGCTCAGTGTTAGCAAGGAAGTGATGGAATGGCCACTCTCATGCCATCATTGCGTGATCACTTAGTGAATTCAAGTCAATGAAAACATGGGCACTGAATACCCTTTGACTCAGCAATTCCATATCTACCTAAGGAAATAATAATTAAGGCTGTATGAGAAGATGAATCTTTAAATATGATCATTATTGTATTTTTATAGTAGTCCAAAGGTAGAAACAATTTCCACACGTTTGGAATTGGCTGAACAATTAAGTATGTTTACATGATGAAATATTAGGCCATTATTAAACATCATACAACATAATAAGGAATGATAAGAAAAAATGTTAAATGGGGAAAGATCAGATTTACTGACAATATGATATAAATCCTGCTCTGTAAAAATAACATTTATAGTTGATTGTGGTGGTGCAGGCCTATAATCCCAACTACTCTTAAGGCTGAGGTAGGAGGATCACAAATTCGAGGCAGCCTGGGCAACATAGCAAGAACCTGTCTCAATATAAAAAGTAGAAAGGGCTGTGGCTGTAGCTCAGTGGTAGAACACCATAGGGATCAAGCCCCAGGACCCCACAAACCAAAGCAACCCAACATATTTATACCTGCATTAAAATCTCTGTTCTTTTTCTTTTTCCTTCATTCCTTTTTTTTTTTAAATCTCTGTTCTGGGCACTTGGCTTACATCACAAACAAAACAATGAATAAGGGGAGAGTAGGAGGACGAAGGGAAAGAGAGAGAATGGTGAAGCCTGGGCAGATCAGGCAGCACTTGCCTGATCAGGAGGCTGTTGTAAAAGTCTGGCTGGTTTTTGAATGGAGAAGTGACTTGTTTTGACTTTGGTTTTTAAAATGTGCCCCCAGCTACTCTGTTCAGTATAGATAGATGGAGTACAAGTATTTAAGCAGGGAGATGGTTAGGAGACCACTACAAGGAGTCAGATGAGAAGTAAGAATATCTTAAATGCACAAAAGGGAAATAAAAGAAACAATGCACATCAAACTATTATGAGGGCTGGGCACGGTGGCACATGCCTATAATTCCAGCGATTTAGGAGACTAAGGCAGCAGAATCACAGGTTCAAGGCCAGCCTCAGCAATTTAGCAAGATCCTAAGAAACTTAGTAAGACTGTCTCAAAAAATAAAAAGGATACTGGGGATACAGCTCAGTTGGTAGTGTGCTTGCCTCACATGTACAAAGCCCTGGGTTCAATCCCCAGCACCCCTATAAAGAGGGGGTTGATTTCTCTGTGCTTCTATTTTATTCAATTTTTTTCTATAATGAACATACATCGCTTTAGTAGATATAGTGTTGTTAAAATATATGAATCATATATATGATATATACTTTACATATATATATAAAACTTTGTTTGGAGAATATTTTTATGTACTTATATGTATAAATTTTTTTGTTTGGAGATAATTGTAGATCCATATGCTGGAATATATTTTGTCAGAAAACTCCTTTTCTTAAGCCTTCTTTTTCTATTGCTGCTTTGAACCATGTCAATAAGTGAGTGCCATACTTCCCATCCCCTTTTCTAGGATAAATGGACAACTAGTGGCTTTAAAAGTCATCAGCATGAATGCAGAGGAAGGAGTCCCGTTCACAGCAATTCGGGAAGGTAAGAACCGGAAAAGCAAACCCAAGAGATCTGTTTTGATTCCTGGATTTGGTAAAAGAATGCTTTGAGTTTATCTGTTCAACATCTGTTTTTTAATATTTATGAAAGAAATATTACCATTACAATTTTATTCTTGATGCCAGTTTTTTAAGAATACTTATACTACTATTTCATTATTTATTCTTGAGGGCGTTAAGATTCAAAACTGTTATATCACTTGACCAAAACTTTGACCTCAAACAGTGTTTCTGAATACGTTCCAAGTGTTTGGCCTCATTCTGGTTGTGAAAACTGCATCTATACAACACCAAAAAAATTCATATGAAATTTTTTTTTAAAAAAATCATACAAATTATTAGTGGGAAATTTGCCTAAATGTAGCATGTTTCTTTCATCATAGTTGAAAAACTCTTTTAGGAAGGCATGCACTTTAAGTGTTGTGTCTGTATTTCCTTTGTACCCTGGTTGGTATAGCAAGTGAGGAAGGATGGACTTGGGTTTGCATTGTAGGTCTACCATTACCAGTGGTGTGGTGTTGGGTAGGTTTCCCAAGACTTAGTTTATTGTAGAGAAAAGATAATAATAGTCCATGTTTCACAAGTTGCTATGAGGATTAAACAAGAATATATATACAAGGCACTTATCACAGAGTCTGTTTTCAGACTTCAGTAAATGTTGGCTCTTATTATTCCATTCTTGCTCCTTTCTTTGGATAATTTCTTGTTAAGCATAGAGATAACCAATAATTTACACCATAAAAATTGAAAAGCCAGGCTGAGGTAGGAGGATCACAAGTTTGAGGTCAACCTGGGTAATTTAACAAGACCCTGTCTCAAAATAAAAAATAAAAACGACTGAGGATATGGCTCAGCAGTAAAGCACTTGGCTAGACTGGGTGAGGTACTGGGTTTGACCCTCAGTACTACAAAAAGAAAAAAAAAAAGAAAAGCAGATAGAGTGAATAAATCATTAAAAATATAATGTATCAACTTTTTTACATGGGCCATTTAAAATGAAATTGAGATCACTGTCCATTTCAGCAAAAAAACAAAAGAAATGCCTTTCCCTGGCTTTACTTTCTCCCCCTTTTATCTTCTCTTCTTTACTGAGCACATATTATGTGCAAAGCATATTGCTGAGTGTTGTGAAGGATGACAAAGCCCCAGTCTCTTTTCTATGTGGTTTTCCATGTGGAGCAGATAATTCACGGAACAAGTGTGTAAAAGATATTGTAAATCAAGACAAGAACCAGTGGTCTCATTATGGCTAATGGAGTCAGTAGATGCTGAGCTTAGGATGGGTTTATGCAAACAGGCATGGAAAAAGCAATTCAGCAAATGAGTTTATAACTGAATTTAATGCCATTTTCAAAGTCTTTCAGAGCCTCTGGGGAATACATCACTTTAAATTGAAGTGGAAGGGCCAAATGGCTGTCAGCTTAGCCAGGGACCCATCCTGGTAGGATCAGGTGCATTCTGGGGAATGCACGGTTTTAAGTGTGTAATACCATGGAAGCTGCATTTACTGATGTACTTATTAGTGGTCCCTGTGAAAGATGATCATGTTTGGAAGAAATGTGTGGATAGGACAAAGAGTATTTCTGAATAGAATAGAAATCACCAGATCACTCTCGTTCAGGGATGGAATCCAGGTCTAGGTTCACTGCATTCTCCAGTTGTGGCCTTTGTGAGCTTGATTGTGTAAGGCCAGTGTTGCTGCTTAGCTTTTGCCCACAGCCAAGCTTTTCAGGTTGACATTTGAGGCTAACAGTGAAATCTTTTTGCTGGATTTGCTAACAGATGGTTCTCAGCATGGTTCAGAAAAGCTGAATCTGTCTTGTTCCGTATGCTAGATGCTTCTTTCATTGCACTTTTACCAACGAGCTGCCTCCCGGTCACAGGTGCTTACAATTACATTTAGTATTGAACTGAGGACATTCTTGGTTGGTTTTATGAACTTCCCTTACTGAAAGGTTTGCAATGTATAATAATAAAAACCACAAAAGGATTTTTGACACATTGGAGGTTGTTAGGCTTCCAGTTTCCAACAACGAATGTTTCTTTTTCCATCAGTATAAAAACTTGGAGTCCTTGTCAGAGAGGCCCTCTCCCTTCAAGATGTGAGGCCTCATTTAAGAACTTTGGCACTGTCCCATTTCTCCCGAAAGAACTCGAAGGATGTGCGCCCAGGGAGACAGGAGGTTAACTGAGTAGGGCTGGAAGGCAAAATAAGAACAGCTGGAGTTCATTAGTTAAAATCCAGGGTCACTAGCTAAAAAGGCAACCGAAAGCCAAGTGCAGAAAAACCAAGTGAGTACCACAGCCTGCTTTAAAAAGCCTTGAAGCAGGAATTACTTCTGAGCAGTTTGGCTGCTCTGATGGCATAGCAGCCAGAGACATATTGAGGAGGATTTTGCTACATGAAGAGTCTCTCTGTATGTTATAGGGAGAATACACGTGGCAGTTTATAAGTCTGGTCAAGTACAATACTATTTGTTTTTATTTGATCTTGACATATAATATTATGAAATTATCAAAAGTATAAACAGCACTAAGGAAAACGTCTTAATTCAAGTTCCAGGTCCTTTTTATACCTCTTTCAATTTTCTTAACAATTTTCTTTAGCAAAAGGTGTTATGATTGCACTGTAAGACACAAACTAAATCTCTCTGATTCAAAAATCCACAACTTCCTATGCATTCGTTCTACAAATATTTATTGAGTACCTGTGGTGGCCAAGCATTCTGCTGACTGCTAGGTACACAGCACTGCGCATGTTTCTTACATTATTTTGCTAATTAAAAAGATTAGAAGCTTTTGCAAAAACTTCTATCTTTCACAATTGGCTCAAAATTATATTTCAAATGTTTCTTCTCATAGCTAGAAGAAAATATGTTTATGTTTTTATATCAGGATGAAGAGTCTTCATTTTATTCAACTATTCATCAATATCTTAGTAATATACCTTATTTTAAATATCTTTGTACAAATGTTCAACTTTTGGTTTAAACCTAGGACCTTCAATTATTACCAATATTTTCTTAGGAAGCAATTGTATAATTAACCTTTTCTAAGAACCAGGCATACAAGATAGCCCCTCTCCATAATCAATTTTTTAAACCCCTTCATGAACTCTTGGTAGTAAAAAGTGTTATTTTTGTTGTAGAGATGAAAGTATCTGAGTTTCAGAGAGGTTAGGTGACTTGTCCAAGGTCACAGAGCTAGCAATAAGAGTTATTAGGTATTAGAATCCATATCTATTCTATTTAAATTTTTTTCTACTTTATTATATAAATTTGGAAATGCTTGGTCTAAGCATTTCTTTTTTAACTAGATTAAAAGTGAAAATAGAAATCTGTTTTTGTGATGTTCTCTGTATGAACATTAAGGAAAATGCAGAAGAAACATTTTTAAAGAAAATAATATTGTATATTTAGCAATTCTGATTCTATCATTGATTCTACAACACCAGTAATTGCATTCTCTAAATTGGAAAGTTTCAGCTAAGGATCTTTTAAGACCATTTGCTTTTAGGAAAATTACAGAGTAATTATTTCCAATCCATACAAGAGAAAAGTAAGCCAAAAAATAGTCCAAGGAGCCTTGCTGAGGTCATGGGATGAGACAAAGGAGGAGTGTGATTCGAATCTCAGAGTTGCTCTTGGTGTGGTAGAGCATACCTGTAATCCCAGCTACCTGGGAAGCTGAGGCAGGAGGATAGCAAGTTCAAGGCCAGCCTGGGCAATTTAGCAAGACCCTGTCTTAAAATAAAAACATTGACAAATAGTCTGCAGTGGAATGCAAGCAAATCACATCACACACAGCAAATTCACATGTGCATGGTTAGATCTTTATAAAACAAAATGAAGGTATGTGATGGAGATTATAATTCCAGAAAAATCAGATGATAACCTCCTCCCCTCCTCTTCCTCTTCTTCCTCCTCCTCCTCCCCCTCTTCCTTCTCCTTCTCTTCTCCTTCTCCTTCTCCTTCTTCTTCTTCTTGCATCAGGGATGGAACCCAGGGACATTTAACCACTGAGCAACATCTCCAGCCCTGTTAGTTATTATTTTTTTATTTTGAGATAGGGTTTTATTAAATTGCTTAGGGCATCCTAAATTGCTTAGGCTGGCCTCAAACTTGCAATCCTCCTACCTCAGCTTTTTGAGTTGCTGGGATTGCAGATATGCGCCTCTGTACCCGCCCAGAGGATAACTTCATATCTGACATTTGTCTTAATGTTTATCTAGATTGTATCTTTTTTTGGAATGTATAACTTGACTCATTGACCTGATTCCATGTCAGAGAAAATGGGACTATAACTGCAACCCCACTTTTTTTTTTTTTTTTGTAGTTCTGGGGATCAAATTCAGAGCCTCATGCCTGCTAGTTCAGAGCTTTACCACTGAACTACACCCCTAGCACACCGACTCTTTTTTATTCAATGTCTAGTGGGAGTTGAGGTGGGTTGCCTTATTGACTCCTACATAAACTCATTACAAGTGGCCTGCTCTTTATTAATTCTCAGTACTTATTGAGCACCACATTCAAGGCCTGTGTTAGTGCTGGAGATGGGAAAATAGGGATGGATTCAATCCACACTCAAGGAGCCCACAGTCTGGAGAGGACTCTGACCTGCAGGCACTCACCACGACTTGGGGAGGCAGCCTTGCTCTCCCTTGTCATCATCTTCCATATTTTCTTCACATCTCCAGGACAAGGAAGAGACATTGTGACTCACTGCACTTGAAAAGCATTACTTTTCCTAAAACTTCATTAAGCCACAAAATCCAATGAAATGGACAAAACCAAGATATTAAATATTCTCTTATCATTGTGAGATGAAAGTGATAATTGCTGAATTTTGAAATAGCTTACATTATCATATTACTATCTAGATTTGTAGATATCTTATGAACAGAATCAAAATCAACCATGCATGATTTTTCCTGATCTTTGGGATTGGGTTTCTTTTTTTCATGTTTCTTCTGATTTTCTGGAT